AGAGAGAGAGAGAGAGAGAGAGAGAGAGAGAGAGAGAGAGAGAGAGAGAGAGAGAGAGAGAGAGAGAGAGATTTCCGAGATGTCAAACTGATTTGTCAATTTGTCATTCCATTACCCATTTTAAACGACCTGCTCGCCAATCGTTGCCTAAACGCCACATGTGTTGTTCTGCATTGGGTTTTTATTTCTCCCCCTCTTCTGACTTCTCTTGGCGTTTCTCCACCCTTCTTCTTCTTGCCTCCCTTCACCTACTACTTTTTGACTGTACCTTTGGGAATATAATACATATTACATATGTATTATTTCTCACGTCACAAGACACTGCGACTTTGTGGAAGGGAACCGATATAAATTGAAATGCATTCAAACAATCATATTATTATAGACAGGTGATGCCCACCGTAGCTGTAGGGAGAGTGTGTGTGCCACACACACACACAAAGAGAGAGAGAGAGAGAGAGAGAGAGAGAGAGAGAGAGAGAGAGAGAGAGAGAGAGAGAGAGAGAGAGAGAGCTGATCACACTAGGGGATTTTGCATTTCCACTGCTTTCTTTCTATTCTTCAACGAGGAGGAATCGAGTAGAGGACAAGCAGAACATGGAGGGAACATCGTGAAGGTAACGTGGACTTGTGGAGGGAGGAGGAGAACATGGAGGGAGGAGATCGTGAAGGGAGGAGGACATAACGTGGAGAGAGGGGGAGGTAAGGTGCAGGGAGGACGAGGTAACATGGAGAAGACGATGAGGAGGGAGGAGGCAATGCAGTGGAGGTAACAAGGAGGCAGGTAAGGTAACCAGCAGTGTATGCGCTGTTTTTTTTTTTTTTTTTTTTTTTTTTTTTTTTTTTTTTTTTTTTTTTTTTTTTTTTTAACCGGTCGGGACATTTTTGGGGTCCGGGGAACTGGTCCGGACGGTCCGAGTCTGGTCCTCTCCAAGGGTACAGTACGTCGGTACCTGTCCAGATTAACAGACGTCTGGAACAGCTCAGAGAAATGTCCGGGCATCTGTCCAGATATGTCCGGGTCTGGGTCCGCGGCTACCATGGTCTATAGCCTCCGCGTTCTCCCTCCTTCCCATCCTTCTCCTCCACCATGCCCATTCCCGTTCTGTCTATAACTTTCCTGTTCTCCCTCCTCCTCATCTTTCTCCTCCTCTACCATGCCCTCAATAGTCATCATCTATTGATGTGCCATTGTCCTTCCTCCTCATTTTTCTCCACCCCTTCCACCCCGCCGTCAACATTCACGTTCCAAGCTCTCTCACCTATCGATGAAAAAGGCTCTCTCACATATCGATGAAAAAGCCTCCAGGCTCTGTCACCTATCGATGAAAAAGCCTCAAGGCTCTCTCACCTATCGATGAAAAAGCCTCGAACGTGAACGTTGACGCACCTGAACGTCGACATCCATCAGCCTCCAGGAGACGCAACCATCAAGAAATTGGTCGATAAGTTTTACAAACCCTGTGCAAGAGTGCGCGGCTATCCAAAATGCTTTTGCACCACGCATCATTTCACACTGCAATTTTTTTTTTGGTTTTTTTTTTGGGGGGCAGGGGGCAAGAAGCAGCCCACTGGCCAAGTAGCCCAGGCTCCAAAACACAATGTGTTGGGCTGTGCCATGACCAGCGGGCTGCGGATTGGGCGAACAACTTTGGCCAGCTTTTCTGAGCTGGGTCCCAGGATGCCATCATGCAACACTTCCTTTATAATTTTTTTTAGGTTAAAAATTAGATTTACAATTACTAGAAGTTATAACTTGGGCAAACCGGAAAAGATCACATGAAGGTCTCCCAGAAAATGGACCAGATTCGCAAGGTCACACCCTGGGCGATATGGAAAGAAAGGTGCATCAGAACCCTGGAATGCAGCAAGAACCCCTGGGAGAAGATCTGAGCGGCCGCCAAAGGGATGATTGAAGCAGAGGTCCCATGCCATTGGACGAAGGTCAAGATAGGGGTGTGGGACACCCCACAGAAAGAGCAGGCGGCTCTTGCAAAAAGTGGCATGGCTAAATGGACTCGACATAAGATGGCAACTTGGTAAGGACTGGGACAATTCGGACACAGTATCACCTCAGCAGACCACCCAAACACGGGAGGCACCAACTCATATAAGGACTTAGAAGGACAACTCCTATACTGACGTAGAAGAACAGCCGAAAATGACCTAATGCCTAAAGGATGGCCCCTGTTAAGCCTACATGGATGAACAACGGCACAAGGAGACAGGGGTACTAAAGGGTCCGACTTGGCTACAGGGGATGGCGTTGCCCGTATTCCGACTGTCTGACCTTTCTTTTAGAAGTCTTGCTGTTCAAGTAAAACTGGCAGCTATGGCATGCGGAAGCTGAGAGGATTTCTAGAAGTTTAGAGGGTGGTCCCCCACAGAATTCAAACACAGCGCAAGCTGAAGCCAGATCAAATTTCAATCAATTTTTTGCAAAGGCAAGCTGGCAGTCAATCCTTGATGAAAATGGAGCAACCCATGCTATCCAGAGGTCCTTTGGCCTCATAGAAGGAAGCGTGGGTGTATATCTTGTTGTATTTTCATGACTTGACAGGGGATGAGTAACCAGACTGCAGCTCCCCCGAATGGACATGGAGCCAGGACCACAAGGCACTGTTTTGGGGAAAAAAAGACAAAAAAGAAAAACACTACTGAAGTCAAAGATAGCCAGCTAGGTAGATTAGATAGATTTGAGAGAGAGAGAGAGAGAGAGAGAGAGAGAGAGAGAGAGAGAGAGAGAGAGAGAGAGAGAGAGAGAGAGAGAGAGAGAGAGCATGAAATAGGAAAGCACACCGACGGGGATAGTTTATTACCTCACGACTACTGTCTTGCGAAATCTGGTGCACATAATCCCGCTCAATGTCGTAGACATAGAAGTCACTCAAATAGTCCTGGTCCCACACAGGGAAGAGCGTTATAAACAATCCAAGAGAGTATTATTCATCATCCGAGCAGTGATTGAACACCTTTTTTATTTTCCCTGGGTGTCATCCTTGTGCAGGGGCCATGGTAATCTTTTTTTGGGGGGGGGGTAATCTTCTTTCTCTGTATCCTTCCAATTTTAATGGATGTCGTGAAGGACACAGTGATCGAACCTCTATCGTAATGTGGATTTAACCATTTAACTGGATTACTTCTTCCTTTTTTTTTTTTTTTTTTTTTTTTTTTTTTTTTTTTTTTTTTTTTACATTGTGTCGATTATGTAAGGAATATGAGCGAGAGCGATACACAGAAACCAAATTGCAAAATCACGCACAAGTCCAGATAGTCATATAACAAGCAGAGAGCTCAAATGCACCAAGATTCCATCCAAATAAGAGCGATACAATGAACTCGTGAGCCAATGTCCCAAGTCCTCAGGCCACATTAACACAGTATTCAACGTTGCTCCTACTGTCTGGCGCCCGGCGCCCAGCCTACACTACTCATCCTACCTAGCCTATCTACATTCCTGCAACAAGCTCACTTCGGCAACGAAGACCAATGTACATGACATCAACACCAATGCCGACCTCCCACATACACCAGGTGCGTTCTCTCCACTCCCCTCATCACCCCTTGTCCACCCACACCTGCGCCTCCTTCCTGAAGACCACCGTCGCCCATCACCTCCTCGCACCCTGCAGCCCGGCTATGGCCGCTAGCGCCCCGCTGCCCTGCAGCGCCCCTCACCTCTTAGCGCCCACGCGCGCCCCAGCCAGCGAGCGCACATGCAGACAATTGCGCAGCATTGCAGCAGTGTGTCCACATTGCCTGCTTGGGCCAGAATGCCTACACTGGCTGGCCTCCTCCCTATATGGGAGTGACTGCTGCTGCTGGACTGTCTGGGCCTGGCCATGGAAGTTTCAAGTAGCTTGCGGTCGGGCCCCAGTGTCTGCGCCCAGGCCCATGTCTACAGTTGAGCGCCTGGTCCCTTTTCAGTTGGGCACACCCAGGATCATCCAGGCTCCGAATGTTTGCTGTGTTTGCATTGGCCCGCGGGGTTGGTGTGCCGACAAGGCTGCCTTCTCATTGGCCCGCAGCCACTTCGTGATGTGTCGGCCTCACACTGCGTGTGCCCAGGGCGCAACCACCTGCGTCACTGCCTGACGCAGCTGCTGCTTCTGAAAGAGCTGAGGGTGAGGCCCAGTTTGCACTTCAGCCAACTGGCGTGCAGCAACTGTCTGATACCCACATTGGAAAATGCCGAGATAAGGGCCTCTCATGGATATTCAGGCCCACCTTCGCTTAAGGCAGGCACGAGGCTTGCTGGGGCCCACAGTCCAGAACATACGCATGTTGTCTAGGGCCCCACGAGGACACATTCCTCACAATTACCTAATCAAGCCGTCAATACCATTATGGCTATATCCAGTCTTGGCTAAGATTGCAATCAGACTCGTTTCATTCACACTTTTCATGCATGCGAACAGCAGCACAGCAAACTGGCGACATGCACCCACACAATACTCAGAGATATGGCTTCCAGGTAAGAGTTCACTTCCACTGGCTATGGCGACTCAGCGCCCAACAACCCACTGTTCACACACTCTGGATCACCCTGGATATCCCACACGCGACACACCGAACACTCACACAACACACACACTGCACTCTAAGCTACAGCTATGGCAGCGCTAGCTGCCTCTACCCTAGCGCTATGGCTACACTTCATCACTCTCGCCCACTTCGACTTCGGGCCTGCTGCAGACCTCCTCACACAAGACGCTGACACAGCGCTTCCGCATGGCTTCCGCAGGAATGAATGAATGGCTGTGCGCGGCCTCTTGATTTATACTTCTGTGACTCGTTGGTCTGCCCTGCTCCCTGGGCCCACGGTGTACACAGTCCCAGACGGTACTTGCTTGACTGGACCCGACTGACTGGACTGGGACTGCTGACTCTGCATGGTGGACTTCCACCACTTGCCCACTTGCCTGGGCCTACAGTGGGCTGACTCCGAAAGGCCACTTCTAGGAACATCTACTTGGCCTTTCGGTACTGTAGCAGCTACGACTCTGCCCTTTCAGGTAAGTAGCAGCTAGGACTTTGACCATTCGGACAGTCTACAGCTAAGACCTCTGGACTGTCTAGACTCCTACCTGGCAGGTCTACAGTTCGAATCTCCTATACCCTGTCATCTACGATGTCCTACCTACCACTGGCGATCCTACAGGTCGCAGGTTCAACTCTACGGGTTGACACAGGTACTGTACACAGGTAAGGTGGGGAACTAGGGATCGAGCCCTGGGATCTGCATCAGCTACTGCGAACTGGTGAATACCGTTTCAAGATCATCGAATGACTGCAGTCTTCCCCCAAACACAACACTCTTACTTCTTTTTTTTTTTTTTTTTTTAACACATTGTGTGGATTACCTAATCAAGCATTCAATACCATTATGGCTCTATCCAGTCTTGTTGGGAAAGATCGCCGTGCCGAAGCACGTGACGCAGACAACGGGAAAAACCCCGCAATCGACCCAGATGCTCACATACGTCATGACCCACCACGGTATACACCACTACTTCGCTGCCAATCATCACCCAGAGATGAAATCGGAGAACACCATATGAGCTCATCAA